ACGAAATGTCTTTAACAAATACTTAACTATCGTAGCCTTATAACATAACATCTGATAGTATTTATAATATAATATATGTTAATATTGTTAGTACTGTTGTTTTTATTATTATTTTATTATCATATGAAATTATTGTAATAATTGTTAATAAGTTTCAGATATATATATACATGTATTTATACTCAAATACGAAATGTCTTTAACTAATACTTATCTATCGTAGCTTTATCACATAACATCTAATAGTATTTATAATCATATAATAGGTTAATATTGTTAGTACTGTTGTTGTATTATTATTATTTTATTATTTTATGATTTTGTTATAATAATACTTAATAAGTTTCTTATATATATATATATACCTGTATTTATACTCAAATACTTAACTATCATAGCTTTATCACATAACATCTAATAGTATTTATAATATTATTAATTGTTAATATTGTTAGTACTGTTATGATGTTATTATTATATCAATATCATATGATTATATTGTAATAATAGTTAATAATTTTCATTTATATATATATACATGTATCTATAATCATATACGAAATGTCTTTAATAAATACTTATCTGTCGCCTATCCTAATGAGGCACCCTTACAAGTGGCGAGGTCGGAAACTTTTTTTTACCTTCGAGAGTGTAGTAATCCTAGAAGCCATATTTTACCTGAATATATTACTTATTTTGCATAACTGTATTCAAGTAGCCTTTGGGTTTTTTAAATGGTGCTATCATCTTCATCAGCATCATTTTTTACTCTTATACAATCGACCAAACTTACCCATTGGAGCATCATGTGGCTTTCTTAAAGTCATGTCTGGGGATGCTTCAAGTCCACGATCCGATTCTGGAAATTAACATGGATAATAAGGACTCTGGACAAGTTGTGCTCTTCTAGGTAGCCCTGGCAATACGAATAAGATGTTAAAACAAGTTCAAATTAATTCTAAGTTACCTTTTGTCCAGTTACTTTTTGCTTCAACTAGCCCGCATCATTAAAGCGCTTTTTTATCGCTTTTCTACCATAGCGTGAGTTACAGCGTGACCAAGAGAAGATCAAGCAGCTTGAGATCAAAACTGACCACCAGATGAAGGTACTTCGCAGAAAGCAGGAGGAGATCCAGGCCGCCCGAAGGACTCGACGGGAAGTGACTCCTCATAAAATGACCAGTTCTCAAATGTAATACCCTTTTGTTGAATTTTGTGCTCACTCATAAATCTGTACTATTGCCTAACATTCATTGACACCTTTTACAGCGAGCAACCAAAATTCACTTGGCCCTTGTATTTTCCAATAATAATAAAAGTAGACCTCGCGATTCCAATGAATTTTATTCCTCATTGACACTCTAAAGGCTCTTTTATCCAAAAGTGAATAAATGTTTTTTTAAATTCATTAACTATTGACAGTTTGAAGCATACTCTTTACTTCATTGATGTAAAGCTTATTTACAACTTTGACTTAGCGTCAACAGGCTGATTGTAATAATGTGCATTTGTAGAAACCTCACTTGCCTTGAAATTTATGTCTGATTTCTCTGTGGCCCACTAACACCCATGTCTGTGTGGCGCTTGATGCAAGCAAACTAGGCTCAAATTCCGATTAGTATTATATATATATATATATATGAAAATATAGTTATTAAGGCAACCGTTAAACGGGAATTTGACATATAAATATACATACATATATATATTTATATTCATATTTATATTTATCCTCATATACGAAATGTCTTTAATAAATACTTATCTATCGTAGATTTATCACATAAGATCTAATAGTATTTATAATATTATTATATGATAATATTGTTAGTACTGTTATGGTATTATTAATATTTTATTATTATATAATTATATTGTAATAATAGTTAATAAGTTTTAGATATATATATATACATGTATTTATACTCATATAGGAAATATCTTTAAGAAATACTTATCTATCGTAGTTTTATAATATAACATCTAATAGTATTTATAATATTATTATATGATAATATTGTTAGTACTGTTCTTGTATTATTATTATTTTAATTTAATATGATTGTATCGTAATAATAGTTAATACTTTTCATATATATATATATATTTAGGTGTGTGTGTGTGTGTGAAATTCTGTCCTGCATTTATTACTGGCAAATTAGCTAATACTCTTTGCTCATCTCTCCATCCCATAGATCAGAGCCTATGCTCGTCAGGGCATCGGAGAGCCACGAGGATTTGGCTGTCATTGGTGTCTCTCCGAACACCAGCAAACCCATCCCGTCGAGCACCATCTGTCAACTGCCGCCCACAAAGGAGGGTCAGAAACGTTGCTGGCTTGACGCCGAAGTGGAGCGTGTCTTGGGCAAGTCAGCCGTTCTGTGTGTATTTCTAACGGATTACGGCAAAGATTATCTTTTAAAGGGAATTTTGATTGGCTTCTGGAGAAGCCTGTAACTAAGGGTTAAACTGTTTTTTTTTAACAAGCTTGCAGCCGAGTTTGCATGAAATAGCACAGAATATCAGATTATCTTTTCCACTTTTATATGATCTAATAGGGTCTTCCCAGTGAATGAACGTTTGCGTGCTTTTTCATTTCTCACGTTCATGATCACTGCATGCATGTGACACAAAGACAAATATGCACAAGTACACGCGTCATAGCCACCACATTATATGATTGTGTGCATGTTAGAGCAGCATTAAAAGACCTAGCAGATCATCTGAAGCCTCATTTAGTTGAAACAGATGGGCTATAAGAGTTAGATATAATCAAAATAGAAATATTTGGGTTTCAAGGGTTCCCTTAGTTGATAATTGAGTAATAATGTGTTTGATAGAAAGATTCGAAAATTGATTTCTATGAAAGATACTTTCTTTAGTTATGTCAAATTTTAGAACGAAATCTGGCCCATTAATCATCTCTGATTTCTATAAAATAATGTCTTAATATAATCTCTTTTGTCTTGGACAGACCTAACCTCCCATTCTACAAATATTGAGTCAACACAAAAATGCTAGTAAAGTTTGTCGGATTCCAAAATTAATGCTAACCGGGCCAACGGCAGAAATTTGACATGACATAGTATGAAGTCAATGAAGTCAAAAACTCTGAAAATACATTAAATATAAAGAATATCAGTTCAAAGTTAACTAACAACCATTTATGCTCGTTTGCTAGACGTAAGGATACATATTGAGGTGATTCCAATAATGTTATAATGGCATTAATTCTAGTTATGATCACACTCTCTGCCTCAAGCACAGACAAAAAACTCATTAACTTAATGACGCAATCAAAGGGTGTTGGTTGAAATCTAATGGAATTTTAACTTTGATGTCCAAAAACAGATGCTACATAGTACTCTAATTACTTTGGGCTATCACTGCTGGTTTCGTGCATATGAAAATATGCATAAAAGGACACACGCACTTGTTTCTAGGTCGAATTATGACTTTAACTAATCAAATCACTTTATACCTCATCAAAATGCATACATTTAGAGCATATATAGTGGATTATTGTAGAAACTTTCATTTTGTCTGAAAGTTCATTATGAAAAGATCCGAAGGTTGAACACACCAAAATCTTTTTTTAAGACACTTTTATGCAAAGTGAAAGTGTTCCCAACAATTTTGTATTTCACGTCATTTTTAGAAACTAAGTTAGTCATTGCTTTCCTGACTATGATGGGCAAAAGTTTAGCATTTTTCGCTGGAATCCAAGCAGATTTCTTCG